GTCTGGGTTTGTTGCATGTGACCAGTCATTTGGGGGCTCCTCATTGTTTGTGTTCCAGAGTCTGTTTTCTCAGTATCTGATTTCCCAGGGGTCTATGTTAGACCTATATTTTTATTTTGATTTTTCTTCATTTGTGCAGTTTTTTCCATCCCTACTTTTTCCTTGTCCTCCACATCACCATCTTCTTTAATTCTGCTATTCAGGGGTAGAGGGATTGCTTTTACTTCTGTTTGTTCAATTTCCTATTCTTATGTATGCCCTCTTACTTTGTTCAATTCTGGAGTTGTACTGTAGGTTGGGAGTGGTCCTTTTTGCAGTTTTGAGATTTACTTAAGCGGGGAGCTGTGATTCAAAATCTATCTGCAGGTCCTGGTATCTGCCAACAGGTGTATGGATAATCTGAGACCCACTTCCCACTGTCTTGGAATCTGTCCATGCAGTGGGGCTGTAGGTTTACTCCCTGAAATAAAATGAGGTTAGCAGAGGGAAGAGAATGGAGCAAACAGTGGGGGGAAGAGTGGGGTGGAGAGAGAGAGGAGTAAGGGGAAAACAGATGAGTGTACCAACAAATGGAGAGAGAGACCTAAATTGAAATGGATAAAAACAATAGACCCTGGCTACAGACTAACCAACTCCCATAAAAAAAAAACTAAAACATACAATGATGCTAACATACAAGCTAACCAACCACCTTATTGATGTGCTATTCCTCTATACAAAGATATGGTTTACAGAGAGGAGAAATAAGAAAAAAAGGAAGAGAAAAAAAGGAACAAAACAATAGGAATAGAATCAAGTCATTAAACTGACAGAACCAACTGAGCACTCTCTGAGACTTTTCGTTTAAGTCCAATGTCCTTTCAGCTCTGATTTCTGTCTTCTCAAGCTGGTAAATTAGTTCACAGTTGGGGTCAGTTGCCCCTAGCCTGCTGTGAAGGACAGTTCAGATCACCCTCAGTTCACCCCTCAAATCTGGCGTGTGTCTGTTTTTCAAGCTTGTTTTTCCTGTTTTGGTGTTGTTACCTTGAATCGCCAGCAGGTGGTGCTATCTCAGCTGCTTGCCCCAGAGGGGGTGGAGCCCGACAGGAGTCGGGCAGAGGCCGGAGATGGAAGCCTGCCTCAGGGCACACAGGAGGAGACCCATGGCTAGCAGGATGTCACAGTGGCAGCAGAGGTGGCAGCAATCCCAGCAGATCTTGCCTGCAGGGACTTCAAGGACTGAAGTTGTGGATCACCTCAGGCATGGATGGTATGATGCTATGGCTGCCATGGAGGCTGCAGCAGTACCAGTGGCTGCTGTGTCTGCAGCTGCAGTGACTGTCCAGACCACCTCGATGCCCCAGCAGTGGCGATAGCTGAGCTCCATGTGAAGAGCAAGCTGCCAATGTTGGGATCTGCAGCCCCCAGGGAGAAAGCCAGAGACCCTCTGTGTTCTCTTTTGCAGAGGGTCTTATAGACCAGGCTGCCCCATCACCATCTTGCCAGAAGTTGAGAAAAATGTTTTCATCATTAGGAATAATGTTACACCAGTTTCAAAGTGCTTTAAAAGCTAACTGGAAATTACTTTTGTGGCTTTCCAGCATCTTTCATTGGGTCAATACATTGTCTGTCGATGTGACAATATCTTTATATGGAGTATTCCAACTGTGTTAAGATGTACTAGACATGACTAAAACATTTCTTAAGTGGGACTGCAGAGCACACTTTTATTTTTTGTTCAGGGAACCAAATGCTTTCATTTAATCACAAATTGACCTCCCAAACAGTCTATTTTGCTTTGTGAACAGCAAACCTAACAAGAACATTTCTACCATGCTATTATAGGTATATGCATTGCTTTTCCTTGAAACCATTAGGAATCCTGATTTTTAAAAAATCCATAGAAACTCCCTTTAAAAAATGACAAGCATTTTTGCTTATAAAATAATCAATTACAGTCTTCTGCCATCATGCTAAAACCCTCCCTTCTAAACAAAGGGAAGTAATGAAATAGAGATCCCAGATAGTGGGGGTTTACCCATTCATTCTATTTATAGTATTGAAAGAATATCTGTGTTATTTGGAAAGCATGTGCTTACTATTAAATAATCTATACTATTCCTTTCACATTAAAATATGTTTTTGGCTTGAGGGTCAGAGAGCTGTGAAGGAAGACACCTGTCTTACCCAGAGTGGACCCACAGAAGGTGGCCTCCATGGTGAAGCTGTTCCTGATTCCCATTTTCCACATCACCACTCGTCCTGTTCCTTCTTTGCTCTTCTCAACATTAAACTTGCAAGCTGAGAATGAAAACTGAACGGAAGCAAATAAAATGATACTCAGTTTTCTGGGACCTATGTCTTTTTCAGAAAGGAGGGCTGAAAATGAAAAGGCAGTTGTGCAAGATCACTCATTCTCACTAAGCCATCAGGAACTCCTTTCTATTTCTCAACTAACGGAAATGACTCACTTTAAGGATGGCATGTTCCATTTCTGAGAATAGATTCTAATTCCTGCAACAAAATTTATTTTGTATCTTCATATAACATATGTAGTCAAAAATCACTGATTCATTCTTGATACTATTGATATAAGAGCTTACATTTTTTTAAAAGTGCTAGGAAGGGGTTCAAACGTGGTTAGGAATAAAGATGGGTATTGGAGTTTTTCAGAAATAGAGATTCTATTTTCATATGAAAAACCATTTCAAAGGTGTCCTGCAAAACTGTCTACAATTTATTTTTGGAGGGAGGGAATTTTTGTCTATTTCAGTAGCATACAATAAAATAGATTTTTGCACATCTTTGTATGTACCTAACACATATGAGGGCTGACAATTAAGTTCACAAACTTGCCACCGTGTGTTTACAAACAACTTAGTAAGGTTTCATAACCTTGGTATATCATTGTCTCACAGCTGTGTTTGTGTCGATGTGTGGTGGTGTCTTGCTGAGTGGTGTTCATTACTGTTGTTGCATGTTTTTATGTGCCATTGGGCAAGTGTCGGAGTTTTAATTAGAACAATGAACAAACATTAAATTTCTTGTTAAACTTGACAATAGTGGAAGCAAAATCAAGGACATGTTAATCCAAGTTTATGGGGATGATACCGTGAAGAATACAGCAGTGTACAAATGGATTAAACATTTTTTCTGAGGGGAGAGAAAGCGTCACGGATGAACAGAGGTCAGAATGGCCAGTAACAAGCAGAACTGATGAAAACATTACAAAAATTCATCGAATTATGTGTCAAAATCATCGGCTGACTATGAGAAGTATAGCAGACCAAATAAACATTGAAAGAGAAACAGTTAGGAAAATCTTAACTGACAATTGTGGTTTGAGAAAGGTGTGTGCAAAAATGGTCCTGAAGCTTTTTCATCACGACAATGTACCAGCTCACATGGCACTGTCTGTGAGGGACTTTCTAGCCATAAAGAAATAACTGTTTTACCCTCCTTACTCACCCGATCCATGAGTTTTTACCCAAAGATAAAGGAAATATTGAAAGGAAGGCATTTTGATGACATACAGGACATCAAGAGGTGATACAACAGCTCTGATGGCCATTCCAGAAAAAGAGTTCCAAAATTGATTTGATGGGTGGACTAGGTGCTGGCATTGGAGCATAGTTTCCCAAGGGGAGTACTTCAAAGGTGACTGTAGAGATATTAAGTAACGAGGTATGTAGCACTTTTTCTAGGATGAGTTTGTGAACTTAACTGTTAGACCTCACATAGAGATTCATGTAACCACCACCACAATCAGGATATAGCTACATTACCCCTAAGCAACTCTCATGCTGTCCCTTTGCAGTCACATCCTCCTACCTTCTCTCACTCCTGGCAACCATCAGCTTGCTCTCTTGTTATTGTAGTTTTGTTTTCTTTAAGATTACCATATAAATGGAATCATACATACTGAATGATTTGAGTATGTATGACCTCCTTTTTGAGATTGACTTCTTTTGCTAAGCACAATACTTTTGTAGTTGAATACTCACAAGTTGTTGCATGTATGAATAAACGTTTATTTTTATTGATGAGTACTATTCCACTGTATAAATGTACAAAAGACTTTTTATCCATTTACCAGTTAAAGACATTGTGGATTGTTTCCAGCTTTTGGCCATTATGCTAGAGCAGCTATAAACATTTGTGTGTACAGGTTTACATATGAATGTAAGTTTTCATTTCTCTGCATAAATAACTAGGAATGGAATTACTTGAACATACAAGTATATATTAAACTTTATATGAAACAAACTACTTTCCAAAATATTATACCAGTTTGTATTCATACCAACAATGTACAGTATAAAAGTTTCAGTTATGTCACATTCTCGTTAGCTCTTGGGATGGTATTATTTTATTTTAGCCATTGTAATAGGTGTGTGTACAAATGGATCTCCTCATGGTTTTAACTTGCAGTTTTGTAATGGCTACTGGTATCAAACATCTTATTTGCCATCATTTATCCTGAAGTATGTATTCAAGATCATTGCCATTTTAATTAGCTTGTTTGTTGCTATTGAGTTATTAATACTCTGGATACAAGTTTTTGTCAGATATGTGATTGTGAATATTTTATACTATCTGTAGTTTATCACTGTTTCTTTTTAACAGGATCTTTCACAGGGCAAAAGGATTAATTTTGAAGTTCAATTTATCAATTTGTTATGATCTAATAGATTGTGTTTTTGGTGTATGTCTAAGAAATGTTTGCCTAATTCCATGTTTTAAAACATTTTTTCTATTTTTTTTCTAAAAGTTTTATAGTTTAACATTTTACATTTAAGATGTGAGGTGGAGGTGGAGGTTTTTTTGGTTTCTGTTTTTCATATGGTTATCAGTTTTTCCAACACTACTTATTAAAAAGTTTTTTCCCCATTAAATTTCTTGTGCATCTTCATCAAGAAGTCATACACGTTTGGGTCTATTGCTGGGCTTGCTAGTCTATACTATTGCTGTAGGTGTTTATATGATTCCTATTACTACATCATCTTGATTGCTGTAGTCTTACACAAAGCCTTAAAATTTGACAATGTTTCCTTCAGCTGTTTTTTGTTTTGCCTATTATAGCTCCTTTACCTATCCTTATCAGTTTTAGAATAACTTTGCTTATAGCTATAAACATTTTAAAATTTTGTCTAAAACTGTGTTAAATCTATAGATTAATTTGAGGGGTTGATATCTTACCATGTTTAGTTCTTCAGTTGATAGTACAGCATGTCTCTACATTTCTTTGGGTCTTAATTTCATCAGTATTATTTAGGTTTCAGTGTCCAGATCCTGTACATTTTGTTAGATTTTTTTTTTTGAGTTGGAGTCTAACTCTGTTGCCCAGATTGGAGTCCAGTGGCCGCTCCTGGCCACTGCAGCCTCGACCTGCTGGGCTCCGGCAATCCTTCCGCCTCAGCCTTCCAAGTAGCTGGAACTACAGGCGTGCGCTACCACACCCGGCTAATTTTTTTGATTTATCACAGAGATGAGGTCTCGCCAAGTTGCCCAGATGGGTCTCGAACCTGCAGGCTCAGGCAATCCACTCACCTCAGTCTCCCAAAATGTGGGATTACCAGCTGAGCCACTGAGTCCAGTTTCATTTTGTTAGATTTACAACTATTTGTTGGAGCTGTGGTAAAATAGTATTGTTTCTGATTTTGGTTTCCAGTTATTATTCATTGTGATTATATAGAAACACAATTGGTTTTTGTGGATTGACCTTGTATCCTAAGATCTTGCTAAGCTCACTTGTAAATTCTAGGTTTTTTTGTGGATTGTCTTGGATTTTCTATGTAGACAAACAAGTCACCTTTGTTGCCTTTTCTTTCCAATCTGCCTTTCGTTTCTTTCTTTTGCTTTATTGCACTGGTTAAAACCTTCAGAACAAAGTTGCATGGAGGGGGTGAATGAACACCCTTGTCTTGCTCCTGTCCTTGGAGGAAAACATTCAGTTTTTTATCATTAAGGATGTTGTTAACTGCAGTGTTTTTATCAGGTTGGGGAAGTACCCTTTTATTCCTTACTTGTTGAAAGATTTTTAAAAATCATAAATGGGATACTGAATTGTGTTGAAAGTTTTTTCTGCATCAATTTATGTTATCATATATAGTTTTTCTTCTTTAGGCTCTTAACACAGTAGATTGCATTAATTTTCAAATATGGAACCAGCTTTACAATCTTGGGCTAAATTCCTGGTTATGGTATATTATTTTTTTTATATATTACTGGATTTAATATGCTAATATTTTGTTGAGGATTTTTCCATCTATGTTTATGAGATACCAGCTTGTAGTTATCTTTTCTTGTACTGTTTTTGTCTTGTGTTGGTTTTATGGCAATCCTGGAAAAGACTGTGTCTTTAAATTTTTGGTAGCATGCTTTAGTGATCACAACTGGATCTGGAGAATTTTTTGAAAAGTTTATTGCTTGAAATGCTTTCAAGACTATTCAAATTATCTATTTCATCTTGGTGAGTTTTGGTAGTTTGTAGTTTTCAAGGAATTGGTTTATTTAATCTAGGTTGTTAAATTTATGTGTAGACTTGTTTCCCTTATTGTCCTTTTAATGCCTGCAGGGTCACCTTTCTTTCATTCTTGATATTGGTAATTTGCATCATCATTGCCTTCCCCTCCTCTTCTTTCTCTTTCTCCTATGCTTTCTGATCAGTCTTGGTGTCCATTATCAGTATTATTGATAACAGTTATTAGTTCTATTGATCTTTTCCAAGCACAAGCTTTCTGTTGAACTGATTTTCTCCACTATTTTTCTATTTCTAATTTCATTGACTTGCTTATCTTTATTATCTGCTTGCTTTGGGGATTATTTTGTTTTTCTTTTTTCTAGTCTTATGGTAGACACTTAGATTACTGATTTGAGACCTTTCTTTTCTAATATAAGCACTTATTGCTATACATTTTCTTCTAAGTACTACTACATTAGCTGAGTTTCACAAAATTTGATACTGTATATTTTCATTTTCTTTCAGTTCAAAATATATTCTAATCTTCCTTGGGAATTCCTCTTTGGCCTAGGGATTACTTAGAAATGTGGTTTAATGTCTATGTGTTTGGAGATGTTCCTCTGATATTTGTTTTGTTGATTTCTAATTTCATTATGGTCAGAAAATATACTTTATATAATTTCAAGTATTTTAAATTTGTTACAGTTTGTTTAAAACAAGGGTAGTATCTAAAATGCCAATAGGAGCTGGCAGTGTGGTTCATGCCTGTAATCCCAGCACACTGGGTGGCTGAGGCAAGAGCATTGCTTGAGCCTAGGAGTTTGAGACCAGCCTAAGTAACATAGCAAGACTTCCTCTCAAAAACAAACAAACAAAAAACAAAAAACAAAAAAACTAGCCAGGCACCTGTAGTCCCAGCCTACTTGGGAGGCAAAGGTGAAGGGATAGACTGAGCCCAGGAAGTCAAGGCTGCAGCAAGCCATTATTGTGCCATTGCACCCCAGTCTGGGTAAGAGTGAGAACCCAAAATCAAAAAATAAAATAAATAAAATGCCACAAAGTATAAAAAGCACCATTATGTTATGTACTACTAAAACACACACAACTGGTAATTAAACTACAACATGTCATCGACACACAAAACACACACCATTTCTAATTCCAATCCCAACATTATAAAATAAATGAAATTTAATTTTCCATGCAATTACTCTTACATTGCATGGCAGAAAAAATAAAATAAAACAAGGATAGTAACTGTTCCAAGCACATTTGAATATAATGTGTATCCTGCTGTTCAGTAGAGTTCTGTAAATACCATTTAAGTCAGTTGGTTGATAGTGTTGTTCGGTTCTTATATATCCTTGCCTATTGTCTATCTACCAGTTCCAGATTACTGAGAAATTTGAAATCTCCAAATATAATTATGGATTTGCACAAAGAGATTTTAATAATAAAAATTTAATAGAAAACCTAGAAATAAAAGTCTCTATATCTTAAGCAAACTTTATATTATGTGGAAGACTTTTTTAAATGGCAGACTGGTTGTTTGTGATCAAGAAATTGACCCATTTCATTTATGACTCAACAGGTTAGAGATGTGAGACCCTAAAAAACATGTCAATAGGTTAAGTATCTTAATAACATGGAATCGTTTTATAAGAGTAATTAACTTTACCTAAGAATATTGACAGTATAAATTTACACAGGAATAGTTTCTGGTATGGAGTTGAGTTCTCTGATATTTCTGAAGAGGTGAATCCTATTTGGACAACAAACCCTCACTTTCTGTAAATAGCTATTGTAACCAGATTATTCTTTTCTTTTTATGTCCTTGGGCTCCAATTGTCCCCAGAATACAATGAGTACTTCCCAACAGAATACAATGAAAACTTAAGAGAAAGTCTGCAGGAATTTTCTTTGTTATGTTAAAGTATTTTCTCTAAAGAATGATTAAAATAATTTCTGTATCTGGTAAATGAGTGGTTCTAACATTTCCACAGTCTTTGAAAATAAGATACAGTTTATTCTTTTTTCATTCTAATTTCTATATGCTTTTGAAATATTGGTTATTGATTTTTTATGGTAAAATTCTAATAGACATTTTAAAGAAATTATTACACATTCCATAAGAGCACAATCTTCAACCTGTGTAATTTAGACACTCAAAGAATATCAAAACAATAAAATATAAGTCCCCAAATGATTGATGAAAATGACTAATAAAGGAATGACTAATAGAGGAAGCTTTCAAAAGGTAAAAGTGTGGTAGTATTAAAGTGATAGAATTTGGGGCATTTTTTTTCTTTTTTCATATTTTCAAATTATTAGGCACTAAATAGTTCCATATAGTTGCTTTCTTATTGTCAATTGTATAAATCAGTCAAAAAATTAAAAAAACAGTTTACTGAATAGGATTATTCATTCCGCAATCTGACATGGTCAATATTTAGTAAAGAAAAAGTTAAAGCCTTAAAAGGTGTTTACTTTATCTGGACAATTTTTGCTCAGCATAAGTGGAAAGATTCGTTGCTGTAAGTATAAGGCTTTAGATCTGTCACTACCATCACAACCATACATGAAGATGTTTTCTTTCCTACTATGGCCATGCAGATCACAATATAAAATGACCTCTCGTTTCTCCATCAATCTGTCAAGAAGAAAAAGAATAAGTTACAAGATTTTACCTCTGCATTCTTCTTCTATGGGTACAATTAAGATTTTATAAGTGCAATATCCAAGTAAATAGCATTTCTTATCTCTTAGCTTTCAATTTCTTTCTCTTATCTATACAGCATATTATTAGTATACATTTTAAAAATCCATAACCGGAGGTCAGGAAGATGGCGGCTGAACCAATCGGACTATGTAAGTCCCTGTGTGAGTGTGTGTGTGTGTGTGTGTGTGTGTGTGTGTGTGTGGAAAATTTTGTGTACGTGCTGGTGAGTGAATGGGCATGTGAGGGGCTGACTGAGTGAGGGCTAGGGAGTTAGTGGCCAGGGTTTTCCTGGTGCAGTGGCTGGTGCCACAGCTCCTGGGCTTGGACCCTAGCAATTCCCAGGATGCAGATGCCAAGCGCCATTTTCTTTTTCTTTTCTTTTATAAATCAACAAACTCTCCATGGGAAGAAAATGCTGGGAGAGACTATCTAAATAGGGGCTTGTGAGCAAGTGCCCAGGCCCCAGGTGCAACAGCTGGTGCTATAGCTTCTCTGCTTCATCCCTGGTTCTTCCCAGGTGGCAGAAGTCGAGTGCCATTATTATTTTTTAAACTGACAAAAGCAGTGGGGAGAAAATATTGTCCCAGGCTCTCCCTCACTGGTGCAGCAGGAGAGAGACTTCTGGCCCATGACTTTGCCTCACCACTTTAGTGCCTGGCAAGGCACTGGCAGCAGAAGCTGCTGAGGGAGCCCAGAGGTAAAGTCCCATGGAAGAGGACAAGAGAGGCACCCCACCACCATCTTGAAGGTGGGGCAGGAAAGTGCTCTGACTCGCTCATCACGGAGCAACAGACTCAATCTCTGTGACTGGCGGATCAACTACTCAGGGATTGATTGTGACCCAGAGAGAATATCCTGAAAGCACAAACTTGGGAGTGTCCTGATGAGTGCTGAATTCCAGGCGCCCCACCCCCTATCCCGAGCCAGCCTTGGGACAAAGGGTGTGGCCAGAAAAGAATGAGGAGGAACTCCAAAGAGATCAGTGGTGAGTCCGGAACTGACCCAAACCCCCTCCTCCCCAGCAATCCTCTGAACTTCAGACCCACACAACTGGGCCACAACTGAGGGCCAAACCCAGGCGGAGCCTGGATGTCAGTCACAATAGGAGAACTTCATTCCAGGATAGGCCTGGCAAGAATACATACTTGGGGAAGAGACAATCCCATATCTCCCTACTGGATGAGATCTCCCTGAACATACGAGAGTGGGAGGGGAGGACTGCAATCCCACTCACCTCCACTGACCCTTTTCCTTCCCTGCTTCAGACACTGAGGAGACAGTGAAAAGCAGTAGCTTTGAAGGAGAGACCTAATTAGAGGAACAATTACAGAACCTGCCACAAGAAGGCAGGTTTTTTTAAATTTCAATTTTAAAAAATTAAAAAAAATTTTTTTTGACAGTTAGTTCATCTATTTAAAAAATATTTTCCTTTGTGCATGAATGTGTATGTGAGGGTTTGATCTGCTCCCCCTCAAATATTTTTTCTTTTCTTTTTCTATTTCTTTCTTCTTTAATTTGTCATTTTCTGTTTATGTGTGTATGTGAATGATTGAGTGTTCATCTTTCAATTTTGTTGTTGTTGTTGGTTTGTTTTTGCTCTTTTGTCCTTCTGGGTTTTTTTATTTTCATTTCTTATGGTTTAAGGTGTGTGTCTATATATATGTGAAGGTTCGATCTGAATTCCATTTCCCCCTCCCCCATCTTTCTGTTTTCTTTATGCTAGGTGTGTGTGTATGTTTACTTTTCTTGGTTTTTTTTGTTGTTGTTTGTTTTGTCTCAATTTGTTGTTATTCCAGTTTGTTTTGGGGTGTGTGAGTGTATGTCTGTGTGTTGTGTGTGTGTGTTCAATTGATTTTTGCATTGGTTTCTGCTTTGCAACATCATATAGAGTGGTGGTGGGGAGTGGGTCTCAGGGAACACATACACAATAAGTGAACATTGTAGTTTGCAAGTAGTTTCTGAATCCTAGTGCCCCATCCCCTACTTTATTTGAATTTCAAAAATGACAAGAGATAGCAAAGTTTCCCATCCATTGTCCTACTTTAAAATAGAACAAATCCAGAGCCCAGATCAGGGAAGAATAGAGGACTGAGCAAAAGCAAACATCAGAAGGGAAAGTCTCTCCCACTGACACTGAATAATAGAACTAAAGAGAAAATCAAGAGATCTGTCACAAATGAGGAAAAGCCAAAGGAAGACCTCAGGCAATTTCAAGTGTGCCAAAGACAAAACTCCTGAAAAATCAGACCTTGGTGCCCAAACAATGAAAGTCACCAAAGACTGTCCCCAGAATAAGACAGGGATTAGGGAATGGATAAAAAGAGTGAATAAGACCCAAGAAAGACAAGACGCAACACTGAAGTAATTGTAACAGAGATTTTGGCAATAAAAAAATTTCATCTAGGAAATAAATAACAAGATGACAAGCATGGAAAGCAGAATTAATCTAACTGAAGAAAGAATCTCAGAATTTGAAGACCAGAACATGGAATTAACCCAACCTATTAATAAACACAGAAAGAAAACTCAGAAAGAACAAAACCTCCAAAAGATGTGCAATTATATCAAGAGGCCAAGCCTATGCCTGATTGGTATCCCAGAAGAAGAAAGGGAAATGGAGAACACCTTGGAGCAAGTATTCCAGGAGATTATCCAAGAAAACTTTCCCCATCTCACCAGAGATGTGATCATCCAAACACAGGAGATACAGAGAACCCCGCAAGACATCAAGTGACAAGACCAAACACATGATAATTCGCCTACATGATGTAGGTACAAAATAAAAAATCCTAAAGGTATCAAGAGAGAAACGTCAGACTACCTACCAGGGAAAACCAATCAGAATAGCAGCAAACCTATCAGAAAAAAACACTACAAGCTAGAAGAGACTGGAGTCCAATTTTCAAAGTCCTCAAAGATAAACAATTTCAACCAAGAATTTCCTACCCAGTCAAGCTCAGCTTCATCAGCAATGGAGAATGAAAATCCTTTCCAGACATCCAATCCCTAAGGGATTATGCAGCTTCCATACCAGCTCTATAGGAGACACTAAAAAAGGTACTAAGCCCAGAAGAAAAAAAAGAATGACCACACATTTTCCAAGAGAACAACAGAGCACAGAATCAACAGAGAATACAGTGCAATAAGAATCCTGAAAACACACACATTCATGAACCCCAAATTCAAAAGAAAAAAAGCAAACAAAAAAAACTTTATAAGAACCTCATGACAGCAATAAACAATCACATTTCAATAATCAGCATGAATGTGAATGGACTAAATTCACCACTGAAAAGACACAGATTGGCAAACTGGATAAGAAACCATGACCAATTATTTGCTACATCCAGGAGATTCACCTCACTACAAAGGATGCACACAGACACCAAGTTAAAGGATAGAAAATAAGTTTCTAGACAAATGGATCACAAAAGAAGGCAGGAGTTGTGATCTTAATATCAGACAAAACAACCTTTAAGCTGTAAAAAATTTTAAAAGATGCAAAAGGACACTACATAATGATAAAAGGTTCAATCTATCAACAAGAAACATTCATCCTAAACATATATGCACCCAACACAGGAGCACCAGCATTTATAAAGCAACTACTAATTAAACTAAAAAAAGATATTAACTCTAACACCATTATAGGAGGGGACTTGAATACCCCACTAAAAGCCCTAGATAGATCATCAAGGCAAAAAATCAACAAGGAGATCCAGAACCTAAACTTGACAATTGACCAAAAGGACTTAATAGACACCCACAGATTATTCCACCCAGCAACCACACAATGTACATTCTACTCATCACCACATGGAATGTACTCCAAGATCGATCACCTCCTTGATTATAAGTCAAGCATAAACAAATTTCATAAGGTTAAAATCTTGCCTTGCACACACTCAGACCACAGTGGAACAAAAATAAATATCATCACCAACAAAATTTCCCCAAAGCCCACACAGACATGGACACTAAACAGCATGATGCTGAACAACTACTGGGTCAACAATGAAATCAAAGCAGAAATTAAAAGATTCCTGGAAACAAATGAAAATGAAGAAACATCTTACCAAAACCTCTGGGATGCCATAAATCAGTTCTAAGAGAGGAATTTATAGCTCCACAAGCACACATCAAGAAAATGGAAAGATCAGAGGTTGAGAGCCTAACAAATCACCTAAGGGAGCTGGAAAGAGAAGACCACCAAAACCTCAACTTTAGCAGAAGAATCCAAATCACCAAAATACAAGCCCAAATACGAGACATAGAAGACAAAAATGTAGAAAACATCAGCAAAACAAAAAGCTGGTTCTTTGAAAGAACTAACAAGACTGATGGACCCCTAGCCAGAATGACCAAGAAAAAGAGAGAAAAAGCCCAAATAAACAAAAGATCAACTCACAACTGACCCCGAAGAAATACAAAAGATTATCAGAATACTATATATACCTATATAGAAACAAACTTGTTAACCTAAATGAAATGGAGAACTTTCTGACATCATACAACTTCCCCGGGTTGAAACAAGAAGACACTGAGACACTAAATAGACCAATAACAACCCAGGAACTTGACCCTGTCATACAAAAACTACCTACAAAAAAAAAAAAAAAGCTCTGAACCCAGTGGATTTTCCAATGGCAGAATTCTACAAAACGTACAAGGAGGAGCTGGTACCAATCCTTTTGAAAGTATTCCAGGCAATTGAATATGATGAAATTCTCACCAAATCATTTTATGAAGCTAACATCACACTGATACCCAAACCAGGTAAGATCCAACCAAACAAAAAAAAAAAAAAAAGAGAGAGAGAGAGAGAACTACAGGCCAATATCCCTCATGAACATAGATGCAAAAATCCTCAATAAGATTCTAGCAAGTTGGATCCAAAAACACATCTCAAAAATCATCCACCATAACCAAGT